CTCCCAAAGGCGCAGGATTACAGGCTGAGCCACCGAGCCCGGCTCCAATTTATATTTTTATCGCCTTAATTTACATCTTTATCTATTGTGTGTTCCCTAATCACTAATTGTGACTGTTGTTGCTTTTCACCATTTTTACTTTAAGCCTTCATACTAGAGAATTGAAAGATTTCCATAGCATCCTTGCAATACTGGGGTATTCTGAGGTTAGCTATATATTTACCTCTACTGGTGAGTTTCATCCTGTCACTTGCTTTCATGACAGTAATTATCGTTCTTTCCTTTTTAGTTATAGTGCTCCCCTAAGAATCTCTTGTAAGTTAAAACTAGTGGTTATGACTCTCCTCAGCTTTTACTTGTCTAGAAAGGTCTTTATTTCTCCTTGATTTCTGAAGGATAGCTTTCAGATACGATATTCTTGTCTGACAGTCTTTTTTCTTTCAATACTTTGAATATATATTCTCTCTCTCTCTCTACATATTCTCTCTCTCTCTCTCTCTCTCTCTCTCTCTCCTTCTTGGCCTGCAAGTCTTCTGCCTATAAATCTCTGATAGTTTAATGGGGATTCCCTTATAGATGACTTGATGCTGTTCTCTGCAGAATTTAGAATTACTTGTTTTTGACTTTTGACATTTTTGTTATAATGTGCCTTGAAGAGTATCTTTGTGGATTAAATCTGATTGGGTACTTTTGAGCTTCCTGGATCTGCATGTTCAAATCTTTCCCAAGACTTGAGAAGTTGTCAGCTATTATTTTGTTAAAGAAGTCTTCTATGTCTTTCTCTATTTCTTCTCCCTCTGGTACCCCGATAGGACAAATATTTGTTTGCTTAATGATGGCTCAAAAGTCCTGTAGACTTTCCTTATTTATTTGGATTCTTATTTTTACTCCTTTGACTGGGCTATTTCACAATACTTATCTTCAAGTTCAGAAATTATTTCTTTAGCTTGATTTAGTCTTTTGTTAAAACTCTCAATTTTCATTGAATTCTTTGACTCCAAGGTTCTCTTTGGTTCTTTTGAATAATATCTATGTCTTTGTTGAACTTCTCATTCATATCATGAATTATTTTCATAATTTCATGAAATTGTCTGTATTCTCTTGTATCTTGCTGAGTTTTCTTAAGGATTATCATTCTTAATTTCTTGTCAGGCATTTGTAAACATCTTTTTCTTTGGGATCTGCTATTGTGTTCCTTTGGGGAAATGTAACGTTTTCTTGTCTTTTCATGTTTCTTATGTCCCTATGTTGATATCTGTGCATCTAGTAAAACAGTGTTTTTTTAAAAATTATTATTATTTTATGGAATATCTTAGGTAGGGAGAGACTTTTTCCTTTAGATGAGTGCTAGTGTGTTGGTTGGAATGGTACATTAGCTTTGGTTCTAGGTATATTCAGTCATGTGATCTCAGCACAATTTCTCTGGTCTATAATTGTCTTAGGGCTTTAGACTTCAGGAGTTGGTGGCACAGTTTTGCTGGGGCAGAAGAGCCAGGCTAGTTTTGGTAGGCTGATGGCCTGTATGGTGGACTCTGCAGGGAAGTTGGAATGGGCACCTGCAGATACAGTGGGCCAGCCAGCTCTGCAGTGTATCTAAAAGAAGGTGAAACTCCTCCTGAACTGGTCATTAGTTTGGATGTGGGTGTGTATAGGCTGGCTGGTGGTGTGGCAGTGTCTCTATGGAGATGGAGATGCTGCTGGAGTTCCTGTCAGGCCAAGCACAGGTGTGGTGGGTTTGCTGGCTGGGTGAGAATGTCTCTCGGCAGGCAGGGCCATAGGCTATCAGCTGTCTGGATAGGCACATGTAGGCAAAGTGAATTGGCTGGCAGTGTGGCAGTCTCTCCAGGAGGTGAAGCTACTGTTACGCTTGACATGGGTTGGTGTGGGTGTGGTGGGTTGACTGGCTGTGCAACACAGGTGTGTACAGGTGCAGGGAGCTGGCTACCTCTTCAGCAGCTGCCTTGCTGTTCATGTCTGCCTGTTCCTTGGGGTGGGTAGGGTGCCACCTAGGTTTAGGTGTAGAATGTTGGTGAGGCTTCAAGGATGAAGAGAGATAATGGCTTCGGGCTCCCAGAGTAGGGTGCACTCTAGCAGGAGGTATAGTTTCAAGATGGCACCATGCCATAGCCGCTAGCTCATGAAGGTGGGTATGCACAATGTGGGCTCCTACTCTGAGACAATGCAGCTGCTTAAACTCCTGGCAATTATCCAGACTAGATTTTGTAACTGTGAGGACTAGCAGGTTATCACTTAGCAAGGACTGCTGGTGTCTGTGGTGGCTATGGGAACCACTGGAGCCATTCCTGGTGGATAGACAACATGGCAGAGGCAGAATGCCTCATTCCTCTCTCTATGGTATTATCCTGGGCTTCCATAATCCACAGGGATCTTGTCGATCCCCTGGTGCTCTCGGTGTACTTCCTCAGTCACTCCAGTCCATCATAGTTGCTTATTGGTTGTTTTAGTCCCCTTTTGTCAGGGTGACGAGTGCCAGGAAACTCTAGTCAGCCATCTTGCTCAATGTTCTGCTATTCTTGACAAAACTTGAACGATATCTCGGTATTTCTGTAATCTCTAGCCCCTAAGGACCCTTTGAAGCTTTATTTTTATATTTTGCCCTTTTCTTTTGAAGATGGTCAACTTCTCTGTTTCTTGTTTTTTTTTTTTTTGGTTTTACAACTATGCCTTTGAATGTCATTGTGATTAATGCCACAGAATGAGTTCTCAACTGGGATTGTATGGCAGATAAATTAAACTATCATGGACAGATCCACTCTAAAAATTTTTATAATTTTTAATTAAGAAATTTTGTTTTCTTTAGGATGTCTGTCGGAGAGCTTTTAAAACATTTAAAAGATTTTTCACTCAACATTAAGGATATCAGGTATGTTTTATGCTGACTTTGATTTCCTTAATTATTTATTGATAGTTTAGCAAACATCGAGCTCTTCCTTTGTGTCTGGTTAATGATGCTCATGAAAGAGTATTCTGGAGGGACCACTGAGTCTCTTAGGTTCTATGCAACTCAGTTGCCCAAAGTCTCTACAAGCCCTCTTTTCAGGACTCTCTTTTTTGAATTAGGATTCATCTCAAATCTATTTGGAATTTAGTTCAATTCAAATCAGGGCCTCAAAGGCACTGTCTCATCACTCTACAAATCTCCAGGCCTGACTACCCTCAATTTCTACAAATGATTGATAGTCTCACTGAGTTAGATAAACAGGACTCCGGAAGGCCACACCCTAAAGACCCGAGTAGATCTCTAGTGTATAGCCACTTCAATGCACTTGTCTTTCTCATTCTCATACTCAGTGCCTTTTCTAGACTCTGGCATCTCCTACTGTCTTCCTATGTCCATTTGCTCCAGTGCTCAATAGTGGCCAAGCAAATATGAACTCTATACGAGCACTCCTATCCCTATGCTCCATGGATCGTCTAGTTTTTGTCTAGCTGTATCGCCCTACTTCTAGTCCTCACTCATTTTTTAAAAATCAGGTGCGTGTAGTTTTTCCCTTAAAATAAATTCAATTTTGGAAGCAGAACCTTTATTTGCAGGTTCTTGTTAGTGAGGACACATTTGTGGTTCTCCTTGGGCTGAGCTGAATCAGATCTTTTGGGAAGCTCTCTACAGAGAGTGAGAGTCTGAGGATGGCCGTACTTTGCCCACTGGAAATATCTTCACTGATGAGGTCTCTTGAGTGGTTTGTAGTTGTCAAGGCTACAACCTCTTTGAACAGCGTGAAAAACTCCAGAGACGTTAAGCACATCTCAAGAGTTGAAAAAGAAAGTCTTACCTTCCACTTGAAAAGTTGAAAGTATTAAGGTCTGACCATGTTAGAGGCACACTTCCAGACCCTGCAACATCATGGGAGAAACTATCTTGTCATAAGAACTATGACTGAGTTACACATAAACTACTAAGGCAACATAAAAACCTTATCATTAATGCTATTATAATCAGAGAAAGTATTATAGGGAAGTCATTTCCATTAAGGTCCTAAGGGATAAGTGAAAATTCATTAAGTATATTAATTCTACTTAATTACAACAATTAGGTAGAATAATTAAGGTGGTAGGATTTTAAGCAGGGGGTATAGTGTGTCCAAAGGTACAGAAATGTTAAAGGTCCTGATGTGTCAGGAATAGACTCCAAGCTCATGAGCGTGGAGTGTAGACTAGGGAGGTTGTGATAGGGATAGGGGGAAATGCTGAGGCATGAGTGTAGTGTCTTTAAAAGGAATTTAGCCGTACATGTGAACAGTCTTATCTGTCACACAATGGAGTCTGGATTTAAAATGATAGGGTAGGGGTGAGATGGGAAAGTTTCTAAGGACAAACATGACATTGATCTATGATTTAGATATATTACTCTGGCAGAGGTATGTGGATTGACTCAAGGGGTAGAGAAACTGAAAGAGGAGAGCTAAGGCTATAGGCTATAACCATATTCCAGGCGAGAGAAAATGAAGGTTTGAATTAAGGCAGAGGTGGTAGAAATGAATGAGGAGGATTAGAGGTTTTATGACACCTGAGGTTTCTAATTTGGTTAACGATCACACTAATGAAAGTATGGGCTACAGGATGACGATAGTTTGGGAAATTACAAAAAAAAAATGTATGAGTTGGAATTCAAATATCACGAGTATCTGCGAGACATCCAGGAGTGAAATGTCCAGCAGTCAGAAAGAATACTAGGTCTACAACTCAGGAGGAATGTCAGACTTGGCAATAAAGATGTGATTATGCCTAGGATTCAGCTACGAAGACTAGTGAAAACCTGAAACTCTGCTCTAGTGTGAATAAGGTGGAGTACGATGGCCAAAAGTATGGGAAAATGTCAGCTCACCATGACTTTCAGTGTATAAACAACACATCGGGTAGCTAAGAGGACTTTTATTCTCTCTCTCCTTTTTTGTCTACCTTAGCTTCTAGTTCCTGAAATATATGGGTAGGGAAATATAAACTTTCTTTTCGCTTACTTGGTGACTGTGGATTTCAAAACTAATGCTCATAATACTAGGAATTTCAGAAGTGCGTAGAGAGAAGAAAGGAAACCAAATAACTGCTGCAAGAGTCTAGGAATGTGGAATTCTGGGGCTTTTCATACTCACAGATCAAGGTTAGAGGTTGGCTGAAGAGGAAATGCCTGCGGGTATATCTCTCTATCTTTTCTCAAGATACATGATGTACTTTGTAAAGGTTTCACAAGGTAAATGTGCATCTTATTCTGCATGTTTTATCTACATATTTATTTTTGTTGCATTTTGGGTGATGACTTCAGCCAACCCTCTTATAATATTGAATGTCATCAAAATGTGAGCTCATCATTATTGTCTGTTATACAGTGATTCCTTGAGTGAACTGTGTGAAGATGAGAGTGACAATGTGGTCCTAGCATTTAAGCAATTGAGTCAAAGCTTTCATGAGAAACTTCAACAAGTCCAAACTCAGATGTATCCAGATCACTTGGAATAACACCATGGAAAATTTTCATGCCTGATGATGTGTTTCTTATCTCTTCTAAGAAGGGATGAGCCCACATGATGAAATAGAAAATGATTCATTTTGGAGCCCACATGATGAAATAGAAAATGATTCATTTTGGAGCCCAGCAGAATTGAATTCAAATATTAGCTCCTCTGGTTTCTACCTGAATGAACTGGACAAGTTATATAATATATCTTAGTTTTAATTTCATTTTAGACAAAATTGGGGTAAAAAAATGATATCTCTAGCTGTTTTGAGAATTAAATGAGATCATGTATGAAAAGCAATTGTATAAATGGTAGAGTTATATTTTTGTAGTTAAAGTTAACTTGTAGCAAAATTTCAGTTTCACATTGTCAAGTCTTTAAGAATGTTCCTAACTTACTGAATTTTTAAATAAGTGATCAGTAAATTATGAGACCCTAATCAAGTCTGAACAACAATTTAATTATATAAGAAGTCTTCTGAGATTACATGAAAGCCATTCTTATGTTCTGAATGTTTGTGTTCTCCTTGCACACTTACATGTTGAAATCATAACCCCTGATGTCATGGTATTTGGAGGTGGACTTTGGGAGGTGTTAGGTCCTGAGGGTGGAAACCTCGGGGGCGTCATTAGTGCCTTTAAATAAGAGACAGAGGAGCTTGCTCTCTCTTCTCTATTCTTCACCATTTGATGATACAATAATAAGGTGGTCATCTGCAGAGCAAGAAGCAGGCCCTCAACAGAACTAATTCTGCTGGTACCTTTATCTTGGAGTTCCCTGCCTCCAGGACTGTGAAAAATACATGTTTGTGGTTTTGCCACCCAGTCTATGATAATTCTGTTACAGCAGCTTGAATTGACTAAGACAGCCACTTAGAGCTGTTATAAACTATTTTCCTGGTAAAAACAGAACATGTTAATTTAACTGTTTTGTCCAGTAGCAATGATAGATCTTATCTGAGTCCCTTAAACTTTCTTATCTGTTCTTCCTAAATGATTTTCTGGCATTGTTTAATGATTATGTATGTGACTGAGAAAAAATTATACTCCGTGAGGCTGAAAAAAATATGGAATTCAGATTATTTCTGCCTTCGATATCATACTTAAAAAAACAAACAAGCAAGAACAAACAACCACCATGACAAAGCAGACAAACACTGAAAGATTATTAAGGCTGTGATAAATGAATATAGTACTCCGAAAGAGAAAAAGAAGCTCTCCAATGAGCTTCAGCAGTAGTTGATTTAGAAATGAGAGAATATGATTCCTAAAGCTATTAAAACAGATTCAACTAGAAAACTTCAGATGAGTTTTTTGTTAGTGAGGTCTTCAGGATAAGTTCTGTGATGCTTTAAGAAAACAATTTGCTAATAATTTAGTATTATACTTGTTTGTAATAAGTGACTTGACATCTATAAGAAATAAAGACTATTAAATGTATTTACTGTCGGGCTCTTTGTATTAAATCTGTCTGTCCATTCATTGGTAGATTTGTATACATTAGGGATTGTGCTTTCATTATTCTCTGTGTCTACTGCAGCTTCAGGTCACAGACTGCAAAATCTGTTTTAGACTTAGATTTGAATACAAAACACTTTTTTCTCAAGGAGAAAGATACAACCTCTTATATCATCCAAAAATATTCTACCAAGGCACCATGTATGCTATGAGATTGCTTACAGATACATTACATAGGCTTAGAAAAATGCCAGTGTATACCACCTCCATGAATAACAGTTTGGCGCTTCCTAAAAGATCTAAAAATCAACCTCCCATACGAACCCACAGTTCCCCTGCTGGGAATATACCCAAAGGAACTCAAATCACTCTATGAAAACGATACCTGCAAACGTATGATTATTGCAGCATTGTTCACAATAGCAAAAACATGGAACCAACCGTGCTGCCCGTCGAAAAAGAACTGGATTAAAAAAATGTGTTACATATATATGATGGACTATTACACAGCCATAAGGAAGGACAAAATTATGAACTTCACAGCAACTTGGATGGACTTAGAGTCTATAATACTAAATGATCCATCACAGAAACAAAGAATTGAGTACCGCATGTTCTCATTCATAAGTGGACCTTGATCAGTTATCATAATAGTATAAGAAAAGATTTAGCAGTAGTGGGAGACTGCCGGGGGAGGAGGCAGGATTGGCAGTAGTGGGAATCTGCCAGGGGTGGGGGAAGGGCACACCTCATCAACAAGTGTACCTACATAGTGAACATTTGCATACCTAACCCTGAATTTACCCCACATCTTTAAAATTAAAAATTTAAAAAAAGAAAAGAAGAACACCAGTGTTTCACTTTTCCTAGAAATAAAAAATCATCTATTCCTTAGACCTAACCCATAATTGGTTTATATTAGTCTTGTGCCATAATCTCACTTGTGACCATTTTCTTATAGCTAATACTAATTTTTTCAGATTAAATAAGTACATAATAACAATATGGCTTCTACTGGTTTCTGGTTCCTCATGTAAGGAGTTAGAAGCCATCAGTCTTTTCTAATAACAAACACATAAATGAGCAAACTGAAAAATTGATCCTTCTTCTCAGATTCCCGAGAGAAGTGTTGTCACAGGGCAAACTGTTGCTCCCAAAATTAAAGAGACAGGTGAACAGGTAGATGGAGACTCGAAACTGCCACAGGAGACAGGACTGGAGCAGGAACCCCTGAACTGTCATGGCTGAATTGCTGGAGGTTAAGTGTGGACAAGTCTGAGAGAAAAAACTCTCAAGGACCCATCATGGGGAGCCACTTTTGTGAGTTTTACATCTAGGAGCTCAACCAGGGTGCTTCTTAACAAGGTCTGGCCTTGGGAGGAAGCTGGTTACTCAGATCCTAGCCCACTGGTGTTTTATCGCTGACCTGGAAAAGCAAAATACCCAACTCCAGACCACTCTAGCCATCCAGCCCCACCTGAGGGTGGAGAATCAAGAATACTTGTGAAGTTCACAGTCCAGAGGCAAAGGCTTCCTAACAGGCGGACCTAATTACAGGCATGTGGTTTTAATGATGGAAATGCGTTCTGAGAAATATGTTGTTAGGTGATTTTGTTATTGCACAAACATCACAGAGCACACTTACTCAAACCTAGATGATATAGCCTACTACACATCTAGGTTATATGGTATAGCCTATTCCTTCTCGGCTATAATCCTACATAGCGTGTTACTGGACTGAATACTGCAGGCAAGTGTCTTTCTGAACAGATCTAAGCATAGAAAAGGTACAGTGAAATTATGGTGTTATCATCTTATAGGAGCACCATTGGACATGCAGTCTGTTGTTGACTGGAAGTTGTTCTGCGGGGCATGACTGTGCAGAGTGGCAGAACAATTTCCCACACCCACAGCTCATACCACACTACTCAAGGCCTATTGACAGCACTTCCTTTTACTCAGTACATCGTGTCCAGCTATCAAGAAAAAAAAAGTACGGCATACTAAAAGAAAAACACAGTGTGAAGACACAGTGTGAGCATCAGAACCCCCAGACATGGCAGGGATGTTGAAATGACCAGAATGGGACTCTGAACTAATTATGATTCATATCCAAGGCTGCAATGGATAAAGTAGACTGTGTGCAAGAACAGATTGGCATTGTCCAATTCACCAAGAGACAGAATAGAACACAAAGGTGGAGAGAAGACAGATTTACTTTCTCTGCGGGAGCGTGTATGTCCAGCCTCTGCCCTCGGACAGCACTCCCGATTCTGGGGTTTTCGGACTCAGCCAGTGACATCTCCCACACCCCACTGCCGGCTCTCAGGTCTTTGGGCTGGGACTGAGTTCCATCACCTGCCTTCCTGGCTCTCCACTTACAGACAGCAGATTGTGGGACTCCTTGACCGCATGAGCCAATCCCTAAAATAAATCTCCTCTTGTCTCTCTTTTTCTATAAATATAAATATTCTGTTGTTTCTGCTTCTCTAAAACAATGGTCTCTTAAATCAAATTCTGGAATCTTTATAAATTGTTTTCTTGCAAAAACGCAACATAAAGTTTGAAAAGAAATAAATGAAATGAATTCATGGGAGCTTTGCTTAAGCTAATAATTCAGCTATATAATTTTATCAACTTAGGTTTGACCTAAAGTATTACTCAAAATATGCTCCTTTTTTGAAGTTAAGATTTTAAATGCCAATTATCCATGTTGTTTTTATTTTTTCTTCTTTTGCTGACAATTATAATCACTATTTTCAGACAGAGTCTTATATGAAGCATTCAGTGTAATTTTAGTGATGATTTGTCTTTTCAAAATAAAAATTTTTAAATTAAAAAAAAGGTCTGAATGGGTAACTCACAAAAGAAGATGTATAGATAGCAAACGAGCATATAGATAGAGGTTCAGCATCATATCTTCAGGGAAATGCAAGTTAAAAGAAAATGAGGGCAACCCCTCAGATCCCCTTCTGCTCTGGGAGTTTTTCTGTCCTGCTTTCCAAAAAAAGAGAAAGCAATACCAATTCACACCTGTTAGAGGCCAAACTCCAAAACACTGAATATGCCAAACACTGACGAGGATGTGTAGCAGCTTCATTTAAGATGCCCTTTTATTGCTAGTGGGAATATAGAATGGCACAGCCACCTTGAAAAACAGTTTGACAGTTTCTTGCAAAACTGAATATACTCTTTTTTGGGTTGTTTTGCTTTGAAAAGTGTTCTTGCTCTTGTACCCAGGCTAGAGTTCAATGGCAGATCATCGCTCCCTGTAACAAACTCCTGGGCTCAAGTGATCCTCATACCTCAGCCTCCTGAGTAGTTAAGACAACAGGCATGCACCATCACACCTAGATAATTTAATTTTTTAGTTTTTTGTAGAGTCTCGATTTGTTTCCCAGACTGGTCTCGAACTCTTGGCCTCAAGCAATTCTCCTGCCTTGGCCTCCCAAAGTGCTGGGTTTACAGGTATGAGTCACTCTGCCTGACTTAAATATAATCTTATATAATCCAAAAACTGCACTCTTTAGTGTTTATGCAAATG